ATATACAGGGTAAAAAGTTATTAACTAAATTTTCGGTAAAATTGGTCGTAAGTGGCGCCCTCTATGAGCAATGCTGAAATTACAACACGCATCTCATTCATCGCCTAAAAAAACATAGTTTCACAAATTTTCAAGTTCCTAACCTACATATTTTTAGAATAATCGCAAAAAAAACGTTTTAAACGTTCAATACCCTGTATTTCCGAAACTATCAACTTTCGGATAAGGCATGTTTGCGCCAATGGTCACCATTTCACGTGTAGTATCTTCAGCTTTCGATTTTCCCATTGTTAAAGAATCACCTACTATGAAAGTTGTAGATTTTGAGGTCTTTTCACATCCAGTTAAAAAATACAGGGTATTTCCATTTGAAAAAAAACAAAATTTTGATTTGATTTGATTTGAAAAAGATAACATTCGGTACGATTTTGTGAACATTCTGTATGACATTTATAAACAGTGACCACTTCAGAATTTACGGTAAACCTAGTATAAAATACAAATACAAAATATCAATATCTTGGAAACATTTGATTTTTGGCACATAGTACCTATTTCGAAAAAGTTGCATAATTAAATGCAAAATATAAATATCCACTCAAATACAGGGTGTTCCATTTAAAAAAATACAACTTTGGTCAGCCCTCCGAAAACTAATCACCCTGTATAAGTCAAATTATTTTTAAAATGTGCATTTCTTGTTCCCCACCCGAAACTATTTTGAAATATTTAGCCTCAATTATATTCTAGTGATAAATCAACTTTGCCACAGCGTTGATTCACCCTATACATATACAGGGTGCTCCAGAATATGTGGGAAACCTCTCAGATTTATAAAGGGGACGTTAAAATAATATGACAAGTTCCTATAAGAGATACAAGCCCCTAAAGGACACCGTTGAAAATCGATGTTTTAAACATTAAATAGCTTTTAAAATACATTGTCATTTAATTATATTTAAAAGAAACAAAATAAATGTAACTAAAAGTGTCATCTGTTTAGATAGGCACAGAAAGAATGTAAATTTTAGCGGTTTATTTCTCTTTACGGATGTAATAAAAATTATATTAAACAAAAATAGTTTTTTTCTCGAAAACAGTTCATTTTATCGATATCAACCAAGGTCCAAGTTATCAAAAAATATTATTTTTGTGACTTGATCGTAAAGAGTGTAAAAAAAATTGACATTGTTGTGCTAAAGCTAGTCCCTTCCTAGCAAACTAAATAAGCCAAATCGTTTTCATGGGTCAATTTTTAAGGAGTCTTATCTGTTGTCCATCGTATTAAAAAATAATTAAATCATATGAAGTATTTTAAACTTATTTTAAAAAAAAATCTATTTTCAGGGGCGTTCTTTAGGGGCCTGCATCTCCGTAGTGGGGCTCTCTAGGGAAAATTTTTGTTAGTACTTGTCATGCATTTTAACGTCCCCTATATAAATCCGAGGGATTGCCCACATATTCTGGGACACTCTGTGTACATGCATATTCTTCATTAACCATGTATTTTTCATAAATCTAGGCTGACCAGGCGACTACAGAAGATGGTGAAATATACTGCCGGTCACTTGTCGCTCATAAGTGCAATAGTATTCGGAACCCTTGGAAACCAAGCATTTAAGGTATATCAACAAAACCAAAGCAATTCCTTTCAAAGTACTTGCTATAAAAAACTTTAATTGAATTTATTTGTGAAACTGTTTTTACTAATTCATTNTATACATATACAGGGTGCTCCAGAATATGTGGGAAACCTCTCGGATTTATAAAGGGGACTTTAAAATAATATGACAAGTTCCTATAAGAGATACAAGCCCCTAAAGGACACCGTTGAAAATCGATGTTTTAAACATTAAATAGCTTTTAAAATACATTGTCATTTAATTATATTTAAAAGAAACAAAATAAATGTAACTAAAAGTGTCATCTGTTTAGATAGGCACAGAAAGAATGTAAATTTTAGCGGTTTATTTCTCTTTACGGATGTAATAAAAATTATATTAAACAAAAATAGTTTTTTTCTCGAAAACAGTTCATTTTATCGATATCAACCAAGGTCCAAGTTATCAAAAAATATTATTTTTGTGACTTGATCGTAAAGAGTGTAAAAAAAATTGACATTGTTGTGCTAAAGCTAGTCCCTTCCTAGCAAACTAAATAAGCCAAATCGTTTTCATGGGTCAATTTTTAAGGAGTCTTATCTGTTGTCCATCGTATTAAAAAATAATTAAATCATATGAAGTATTTTAAACTTATTTTAAAAAAAAATCTATTTTCAGGGGCGTTCTTTAGGGGCCTGCATCTCCGTAGTGGGGCTCTCTAGGGAAAATTTTTGTTAGTACTTGTCATGCATTTTAACGTCCCCTATATAAATCCGAGGGATTGCCCACATATTCTGGGACACTCTGTGTACATGCATATTCTTCATTAACCATGTATTTTTCATAAATCTAGGCTGACCAGGCGACTACAGAAGATGGTGAAATATACTGCCGGTCACTTGTCGCTCATAAGTGCAATAGTATTCGGAACCCTTGGAAACCAAGCATTTAAGGTATATCAACAAAACCAAAGCAATTCCTTTCAAAGTACTTGCTATAAAAAACTTTAATTGAATTTATTTGTGAAACTGTTTTTACTAATTCATTCAATGTTCTTCTTAAATAAATACTTAAACAAAAATAATTAATTTATGTAGATCAAAATCGAAAATATTAAAATCTAAATCGAAAAGAGGGCACGCGTTTCACACTTCATTTGTTTTTGTTTCAGTCTAAGCCACTAGGGGCCATGATTTTTTTGGTAGGGTACATCATAGCTCTGTTTTCTCTTTGTCGCGCGGGACAAAGATTAATGGATGAGGTAAGTTTGCAGTTGAGGAGTTAGATGGTAAGTTTTATAGGATTTTTCATTTCAATAATAAATTCTAACACAGACGCAACGCCTCTTTTCCAAGATACAAGGTGGTGAAGTCAAAAAAATTAAATTTTTTCCATATTTTTGCTTTAACACCAAACGACGAGTTTTATAGGAACTACCTCCATTAATAACCATCGTAGAAGCTAGTGATGTCCAAATTTTGTTATCAA